TGACGATATGCTCTTTAACCGTCTGTGGCTGACTCTTCGAAGATATGGATGTTCAATGATTTTATGTTCGGATCGGTTTCCAATAGCTTTGTTTGTTTATTCTGTCATTTTTTTCTCTTCAACAATTGGTCTTTAATTTATTCGTCGATCAATTCAATTGAAGTTCTTTTTATATGTTTCTATTGTTTAAGCCGTCTTTTTGAATAACGATTTCACTATCAATCGATTGAATCACAGTCGTGATTCACTTTTCAACTAATTCGATCAGCGAATGCATTTATTTTCCATTTTAAATTGCAGTTATACTGCGCACACGAAGAATGCAAGCATGTTCGTCACACAAAATAGACAATTAATCACGGCGACTTACCATAAATTGCACGACAAATACACATAGACATGTGTTTATGAATAAAATCTAATCGAGAATAGAAACAAGTGAATAATAGCATTGAATTGAATGTGTAAAATACAGCATAAAAGTTCTGCTCATCACTAGGTCATACAGTTGAATTGCAGTGCGGCACATGAACGGCAATAGAACTTCACCTTGATCCGAAATTTCATTGGGGTAAATCTATTTCAATTGTCAACTCGACATTTATCATTTTAGTAATCAACGTTAAACGATGTGAATTTCAGTCAAATTTATGGTGCAGTTTTGCATAAAAATTGTTTATTTTATTCATATCATTGTTTTTATTTCGAATCAATTGTGTGTAATGACTTTGTATTTTGAATCTTTACGTAACTGTTAAGTTCTTTGTCCCTATCAACTGACATTCATTATCATAAAACAGAAGTATTAATTTGCTCTCTTCCTCAGCACCTGTTGACATCACAACATCTGTTGATCATTGAAATATTTTCAAAAAAAAAACACCGAATAAATTGAGCCGCTTCTATTTTTGGCGAATTTCGCTCAAATTAAATGTTTATTTTTGTTAATAAAAATCTCCATTTGTGCATACTTCTCATTTTAAATTCTCATGTGTGCACCATATTTTTACCTGTTTTTGTCATTCAACACACAATTAAAGAACCAGAATGAGACAAAAAAATGAATTTATTAGTGACCCACGACATTAGTTCGAATAAATCAGATGTTCAAGTACTGTAGCGAGAAAAAAACAACAACAAAAAACACACTTAACACATTTTTATATGAATTACTGGTTTCAATGGCTGTTCCAGCTCAGCTGAGCGTGCCGATCAACAGTAATTGTTAAAAGTCTGTTGAAACTTTCATTAAAGTATGAAAGCACGAATATTTTAGACGAATCATCAATTGAAATTACGAAATAAAATTACTATATTAGGATGTTTGAACACTAGATCGATTTAATTGAATTGTGGTTGCATCAGGCGAGTCACATTTATTTATTTTTTTCACGTGAAAAAATATGGTTCTATATTTGATTGCGTTCATAATATGAATTTCACATTGTCTCCCTGTCAAATGTTATTCATATTAAATTAAACACATTTTGCGGCAACACATCGATTGTTTATTCAATTTAAAAAATACCCAAAATATTGTGTAAATGCAGGCTCCTGTGAACAAGTGTTGAACATCCGGACCAGCAGGCTTCCGTCATATATTTTGTGATGACGTAACAAAAGAAATAGGCATTTTTAAAAAAGTGTCAAATTTCGTTATGTTATGGATGTTGGTCAAAGCAAGGTGATTCCAGAACCGACTGATTCAGACGATATTTTGCTTCATGTTTCGTGTATTACTCACAAAAAAAATGTTCATTCATATTTACCTATTATGTACAAGTGTATAGAATGTTAATATACCTTCTTGGGATGATGAATCATATAGCAATTGACGTGATTTGAATCATGTGTATCTCCTTTGAAGTAACGACAATTCAGCGCTCAACTAATCGCTTTCATAAATCAACGCTTTCTTAATGATTCTTGTTAAAATATTTACAGAAAACAGGTCGGTCTATTTATATCGCCGTTCCATATGCCCTCCATGTCCATTTTATTGACGAAAAATGTTTGCATTTCATTAAAAGTTACCAACTGCAAAGTGTGACCTTTTCAACAAAACACTCCAGTCATTGTGATCATTAATTTGCAATTTACATTGTAGCCGATCAAAGTCCAAGAAAATTACAGCTCTTTGAAATGATGTACGGTATATCATGTGATTTGTAACAATTTAATGAAAAACAAAAACTTTATAATTTCTTGATCAAATTGTGAATGTGATAAGTCTGTTTGTATGCCGCTTGCGAAATGCCTGGGATTAAAATGATCAATATCACTCATAATAATTCACACATTCATCGTTAAGCGGTGATGAAGTGCGAACAGACATGCATTCTGATATTCAACAGTAATCTAGTTCGGATTGTTGTTAATAAAAAAAATATGTATTTTTTCCAGAGATTCCGTTTGCCGCATGTGTATCGCATCGAACTGGTTGAAAAAGTAAACAATACACACCATGACTTTTAGTTCAAGTGTTCGTTTTACAAACATCGTTTTCATCAACACATTTAACATTCTTATCAATCAAATAAAATTAAATAGTATCATAAAATCGAAGCGAGGTTTTGTTGAAAGTGAGATCATGCGGATCAACATTATTGTTGTCTAATATACGCGCACACACGTTTAAAAGTAATCATTTGATTTTTATTCGCGCTCATTCACGAACGATAACCGTTGACTTTTATCGAAACAAACAACCAACGAAAGATAAAGCGATCAAATTGTAGTCTCTTTTTATATCAATTTATGAAATCATCCAAGAATGAAAATTAAGAGAAAAAATTACTCCAAACTCAAAACAAATGCCTATGACCCAAATGTGTGATCATTTAAATGACTAAATAGATCCAAATCCGGATCCAAATCGATCAAAACTACGATATTCAAAATACAACACAGATTTTAAAATCAATTTATAAATACGCACAGAAGTCACTCTGAAAAAAAAATTGAAGGAACGATGATTTTGTACGATCAATTAAATAATAAAATTACAATTTATTGTTCCATGATTTTCACTCTCATGCTGTGAATGTGTCGACAATTTAGCTCAAATCAAATGCTATGCCATGAACTAACACAAATGACGCAATTAAAGTTTGTTTCCTTGCATGGGCAATATAATGAATTCAAGACGAGCATGATAAAAAAAAAGGGAAAATTACTTAAGCTTATTGTACGCAATTGATGCAGACAGAATGTTATTCGTACATCAGAAAATATACTATGTTTGCAGTTGGGAATATTTCTTATAGAAAAATTCGTATTTTATGTATGCAGTAACATGTGAGTGAAATGATCATCACGGCGGCGCTTATTTCAGCGTAATATTCTGAATTTTAAAAGAGAAGCAAAACGTTTGCATGCATATTTGCGTACCATATAGAGGCACTGCATAAAATGACACGAATCTTCAATTCAGTAGCACCGAGCGATGTTGAAATAAGCATTTAAATTCATTGCACGGGCTTCTGAATGAAATTATTTGCCGAAGTACATACCATTTTTTTTCTTCATGTTAAATGCTTCTATAGTAAATGATAGTCAAGTGAAATTACCGACTGTATCTGTTTCATTATCGCACACGCATTTTACGATTGTCGATAATGAATCCGACATGTTTTGTTTTAAAACCATCGGCTCATTTTTATCGCTTTCCAATAAGTGATTTTCAAACATTTTCCTGTCGAATTTCGATGCATTTCGGTTTTAAAACTTTCCAAATACATTTAACACATTGCTGCATTAGCACTATCATCTGATAGTAAGGAATGAGATTGAAGAGGATAAAAAAAAATAACAATGTGAATTAGCGTTGGCACTAAGCGAACTACATTTATATGACTGACAACATGTATGTGCACTTTCTGTTTGATTATCTTTATTTTCGGCTGTTGTTTACTCGAAAAATATACACAAAATATGAAGGCATGTGAATAATAGTTTGTGCAGCATGATTCGATCGCAGTCGCTGCCATCACTGGCAACGATGACGACGAACAGTTTTTCTTCCACATGAAATTCATTAGAAGTGTATGCATTTCATTAGGTATGAACAAAATGCTGGCATCAATACTGAAAACGAGCTCGCGCGGCGTCTCTTTTTTCGGAAATTTGACAACGATGCGCCAAACGTAAACATATGAACATGGAAAGCATATATTTATGTATATATCATTCTCATTCTTGATCGTACTGTCTCTCTTTCTTGAGCAGCTCGACATTTGTACACGGTGTTATGCCCTATGCACACATAATGTTTGCCTTAGAAATATATATATACCATTTATCCGAGCGTACACGAGAATGACGAAACAAAGAATAAGATATGAAAAGGGAAGTCGAGAGTTGAAGTAAAATTAAAAACATGTTCATTGCCTCTCCGACTTTCAGTTCATATTTTCGAATGTGCATCGTTCCAATGCAGCGTCATTTTTGAAGGAATTATGCTTCATGAATGCCATTGATCGAGCAGAGAAAGGAAATAGAGAGAGGGAGAGAAAATGAAAAAAAAATTAGGCAGACTCGACACTGTATATCATGAACGGCATCGAGTCTGGAAAGTTGTAAAAAAAGGTCAAAAAATGCTTTCACTTTAATTAAGTTCCAATAATATTGTGTTATTGGAATGAATTCATAGACCTGAATTTGAATGTGAATCGTTAGCTACCTTTAAAATTTAAAGTCGGAACATGGAATACTTACAATTTACCAAACATTCTTTTGTCTGTTTGCTATCCTGGCTCAATACTTTGGAACTTGTCTGTGTTAGTGACGGATGCACAAACACATGAATAATGTTCGAACAAAGGGGAATAAAGAGAGATCAATTTTGGTGCAACATTTTCGCATTCAATGGATCGAATAGGTGGGAATATTTTTTTTGCTACACTAAAAATTACTTTTCTCGCATGATTTGCGATCACAAGGGGCTTTTGTTCAAACGAAAGACACTAAAGTAATCGACAAAGACTGAATAAGACACAGGATTTTATCATATACGTTTTTACCTTTCGCTTTAATCATGATTTGAATTTTTTTTTCATAAGATCTAATAAGTCTTTTCATATATCCACATTTCACATGTCAAACCCAAATAGTACAAACATGAGTAAGAATACACATTTCTATTTACTTTTCTTTATCGCTCATTCTCGACAACATTTTCAAGCATTTATCATGGTTAGGACAATTTTATCTCCAAAATTTTATCAAATTTCTATTCAATTCGAAGCAAATCTCTTCTTCTATATCATCATTACATTAAAGCAAGTATTTCGATATAGAAAAAAAAACATAGCCGAACGGTCTTAATCCAGAAGAGAAATTATGCATTTATCAATTTAAAACAGCGCATTTAAAATCCCATTTTGTTTCTCTATATAAAAATGTCTCTGTATTTTTTTATTTGTATATATTTGAAATTGTATAATAAGACATAATTTGTAAATATTGCTCGATTTATTATTGTTTATTATTTCATATCGATATTTTTTACTTCTTTTAAAAATGCTTCATCAATTTCGTCTCAAACAACATCTTTCATTCTTGCATAACGTCTTTCTATGGCTTTTGCAATTCCTTAAGATTTTATATGAATAATGCACATTTTATATTCGTTTTGATCCAGGGACCGTTAACGCTTTGAACATGTGATAAAATCCACATGAAATTCCAAATTTCTAGAACATAAGCAAATGGAACGATGTGGCCAATGGAAGCCAATTCTGTTTTAAATAAATTGGTTTTGAATGCCAAAAAATGAAAGAAAAAGAAAGATTTAAAATTTTGCAAACAAAAAAAAAATGGTCAAAAATGTCGTTTTCACTTTTTTTTTCAAATATTTTTTCGATTTTTATTAACACTTCTTTTTATATCAGTTTGAGGAAAAAGTTTTCGCTCAGTATTTCATCTCTAAAATAAATTAAATGTAGCAAATACACTACACACATTTTCATTTTTTTGTTTCTACTCGTATGTTTCTCTTCTTAAAGTCTAAAATCTAAATTTTTACGATCTCAAAATACTATAAAAAGTCGAAAATCATTAATAAGTAGGTAAAGAATTTCGTTTTTGTTTTGCTCGAAAAAATACAAAGTAAAAAAACTTGTTAAACGTTGCACTGATTTGCATTTCTTTTTTTTTAGTTTTGTTTTGTTTCTAAGATCTAATTTCGACCGATTAATTTCTTTTTATAAAAATATATCAATAGTTTACAAATTATTACCTAAATCGTATGAAATCATCAAGATTTTTTGTATCAATTGCAAAGTCCTCGCATTTGTTATTTGTTTTATATTTGTATGTGTGTGTATGTGTTTTCTTTCTTTCTTTCTTTCTTTCTTTCAACAATGGAATGATTTTGTCTTTTGTTTGTCTCTTATGTAAAATTTTTGCGTTTATGTGTTACATTCTTTTAAGATGCCGCTATTTTATGAGCAAAACAGTGTTTAAACTTGAACTATTGATTTTTTTTTGTTCACAAATTTGCAAAGTAGTTATATTTTGTTTTGAAACGATTTTAAAATAAAAAACAGAGAAAATCTACAATGACGTGAAATAAGAAGGAGTTAAATGCTAATCATACGAAATAGAATTAAATCCATTATGGAAAATTTTACTTTTTCGATGGGCAGCCAGCAGCTGATGATGAACTAATATTTATATATAAATTCATTTACTAATACCTAATTAAATCAATATTGTTTCGACATATATATATATAAATGTATATCGCTTATTGTGTCAACTAGACGTTGCTCAATTTGATGAGGAAAAGAGGGAAATTATAAGAAATATTTCGATGAAATTGGGATATTACTTTTTTTGTGGAAATCTCTTGATTTTATGTTTCGGTATTTTCATTATAGAATCATCGGTTTTTTTTCGTGTATTAAATTTGTTGTTTTTGTTTGCATGCTCTCTATCTATGCGTATTGTTTTGTTTTTTATTGATAATGCAAATGCGTTTGTTTAGTCTCGATTAGGGTTTTTGTTATGGTCACGATTGAAATGTGAGTAGAGGTTGTTGCTGTGTACATGCTGTCATACACATTGGTCCGAGAAAACTAGGAACAGCATCGATTGTCAATTGATTTGTGTGTGACGAATGTGCGGCGATTGATCAGACGTCATGTTTTCCGTTCAATTTCATAGCTAACTCTGTCATGATCTCCTTGAATATTAATGGATCAATATTTTTACTTAATTGATAGAGTATGAACCAATCGCCGATTTGGCATTTGTTGGATATATGCTCGATGTCCTGATGCGATGAGAGCCGTGTTCGTGCACGCAACAAATACAATCGTACTTTTGGCGCAAACAACACCAAAGCACGATATACCAATGAGAATGCGCTCAAAATACTCAAAATAATAAACCAAAACCATAAAAATACGTAGATCTTCTCGTTGACAATGTTCAGCGGTAACACGCATAAGCCATCGAATTTTTGAACACTACCGGATGGACCATATTTGTGGAATGTGCATTTTGTTACTTTCGGGAAAACCCGTGACATTGGATCGCCTCGCATTTCCGGTTCCAATTCGGTGAAACGTAGCACATCACTGCCGTACGATGTGAATTCTCCATCCAAAAAGTAATCCATAAAATAGATTTGACCAATGACGTTGACGAAATTGAGCGCTTCACAAATGAAGAATCGAAATGCATAGAAATTGTGTCGTCGCAAATTCTCTTGGAAATAACTGATGAGAATTTTCTTTCGATCATCTTTGCATTCTTCGTTTACAATTGGCATATTCAAATCAAGCACAAGCATTTTAATGCGACCACCTTCCCATGTTTTCCACAGATAACGTGGCACATAAAATAACATGGCTTGGAAAAATAGCGCAAAGCACACCCATTGGTAGTACTTGTGGTATTTGACCTCGTCGCTGCCTTCAACGTGACTCACAACACCCGGCTGCACCATGTCACGGCCAGCAACTCCAATCATTCGATTCGGTATCGTAAATGTACTATAAATCCAACAATAGGTGTCCATCACTCCAAGTGGAATTTCATCCACGATACAGTCGATGGGGTCGCCAATATATTGACGCGATGTTACCAGCAACGAAAATGCTATCAAAACGATAACTGTTGCTTTGTAATGCAGTCGAAATATGTTATTGTCGATGCATACTTGGTCGAGCTTCAATAGCCCCTTTACTGAGCCGAATACATCAAACATTGTGCTGTCTAAATGATGACGACGTTGATGATGGTGGTGGTGATGATGGCGATGATGATGGAAACATGAAGAAAGAGAGAAGACAAAGAGAAAAAAACTTTTGTTTAGAATTCAACTACTTCAACGCAGACACACACACAAACACATATTTATATATATATATATGTGTGTGCACAGATGAACGAACACTAAAACTTCTTTTGTGAACACTGAGATTTCGATCGAACCAATTTATCAAAATCTTTTGAGCTCGGAAAACAAAAAAAAAAAATAAACCATTTTCAAGAGAACAACAAGGGATATTCTCTTTTTTTGTAGAAAATTTCAGCAACAAAAATAGACACAAGATTCACAACTTTAACATTTTGAAAATTTGCATTCAATTTTAACAGATTCGGTATCGATGAAATTCAGCACAAACACACAACAAGTCAGTTGCATTTATAAACATAGATCTATATACTAAAAAAAACAATATTCCACTTACGACACTTATTTTAATCACACGTAAAAATCTTGGTTTTTTTTTTTCAAAAAAATGTGCGTCTCGTGCTAATTTTTCTGGTTCGTATTCTGATGCACTGGACTCTTGTGCTATATATGTTTTTTCTTCACAGCGGAAAAAAGACTATGAGCGATTCGTTCTTTTTTTTATTTATTAACTCGTGTTAAACGCACCCCGTACTATATAGTAGAAATGTTGCGTCGTTTGTTGTATCCGTCGCTGTGCGTAGCGGTTGCCGTTTGTTTTACCTTTGTGCTTCTGCTTTAGATAGCGTTGTTGTTGTTGCGTTAAAGAATTTGATTGGATTTAATGTTGAACACATTGAATTTGTTTGACTACAAAACAGAAAAAAAAATTGCAATATTGCCACTTTGCACTAAATCTTTTCTTCTTTGTAACTCACTATTATTTTTTCTCTTCTAATTTCGATGATGTTATATTTTTTTCTGTTGTTAACGTAAACATAAAAGTGCGCTTAAGAATATTCAACCCAATAGATTGCAAAATGGGCGAACATTTGAGAATGCCACTTTGAACTGTGTGTGCCTCAGTTCAGAACGACTAAAATCCGATGTGATCGCTTTGAATAACGAATCGAAACTGGACGATCATCGTGCAACGAACTGTTCGAAAAAGAGGTGGGGAGGGAGAACGAAAATGAATAGCGCGCGTAATACGGTTAGTACACGTTCATTCGTTTTGTTTGTTGCTTGCTGCTGTATTGCCGCCATTCACTTCACTCTCTTACATTCACACACATACACATGAAACAAAAATTACGCATACATCGATACGACGTGGTACAGCTGTGCTGTTGCTGCTGCCAACGATCGAATGCATATGTATTGGAATGATGTTTTTACAGTTGTTTTAGTTTCAGTCTCCGAATTTTCAATGTATTTGTGTCACATTTGTGTATGTATTGAGTGTTGCCGATGCAGCTGAACTGGTTTCGTTGTATGAGTGTGCGAGTGCCAATTATATCCACTGTATTAAATTGAGTTCATAATTTCTGAACACTAAGCCCAGGACACGAGAATATGCTTCTTGCATTGTTTCAATTACGCTCAAAAATGCGAATTCATACAACTAGAAAATTCCTTTTCTCCACTCCTTCACGCACAAATACTTTTCGCTCAGTCTAGTGCTCAACATTTGAATCTTTTGTACAACATTCTCATTTATCAGAAACGATCGTAAATTTGGAGCAATTTTTTTATGTTCGACATTTCTTGGTTATTTGCTGTATATTTTTGTTGATTGTTTCCATCGATTATGCATTGCGGTGCATTTTCGATCAAATTTCATAAGACGTCACGAGAAATTGTGCGCATTTGTTTTACAATTGGCATGAAAATCACACCGTGAAATTGTTTTTAATTAGTTTTTTTTTCTCTGTCTGTAAAAATTGATACCAATATAATATTGTTGTAAAATTTTTGACTCTTTTTGGCCATTTTTCCCGAGTCCCGTTTTTTCATTGCCAAAAGAAAGAAGTTATGATGAAATCGCATGAAGCGTCGACGATTCGCATCGCATGTAGTTACTGTTTTTTTTTGACCACACACAAACCGTTTACGTCGATACATGTGTTTGAAGCCGATTTTGTACGAAAGCATAAAAAAAGAGACACGAAAAAAGGAGCGAAACCTAGCAAAACAAGATAATTTTTCCTTCGTTGTTTTGCGATATGCTTATTTCTTTTTTTTAAAAGAGATAATTAGTAATTTTATTCTATAACTTCTTCAATAAATCTACCACACGAAACTGGTTGGTTTATTGTGTGTTATTTTTGGACCAAAATAAACACAAAAACCGGCATATTTTTATTGCCAATATGCATATATTGGCTTTGAAAAAAATGAAGCAAAACAATGCTAAAAATTACGTTTCTTTTGGAACAAAAGATTAAGAAAAGCACATACAAAATAATCATAAATAAATGACGCATATTATATGCAGGAAATGTAAGTTCGTAGAATAAATTTTTTTGAAAGAGAAAAGTACGTAAATACGTATTTGTTCGTGCCATAGAAAATGAATGGAAACGCGCTTGTGCATCAAACAAATAGAAAAGGGAGAAAGAGAAACACCATAGAAGAAAAAAAAATTACGTTACTCAAATCATGTAGGCTCAATGCATGTGTAGCATACGAATTTGGTGCGAATGCACGAAATCATAGAAGACGAAAAGAATAAAACCCTCACAAAACACGCACACAAACGCATCACAAACACAACAACGACAAATATGAACGATTTCAAAAGGCCTTTATGCTATTGAGCCTACCGACCGAAAAAAGTTTTAACATTGTGACAAGTATGAGCCGACGACGAGTTGATGTTTTCATTAGAAATCGTCTCGTTGCTGTTGTGCCAGTGTGTTTAGTCTATCGAAATAAATGCACAAGACAATGTACATGGAATGTTCAATGTCAAAGGGAGAGCAGAACACAAACATCTGTCAAAGTCAAATGCACGTCGACCAAATTTCAAATTCTATACTTATCCCAGACCTACATCGAATCTGATGCAATACAAACAAAATGTGTCGAAAATCCATGTCGCATGAATGTTGGACACACACTACACATATTTGATCGATTCTTTTCACCCAATTTAATTATCGATTCGTTCTTTTAAATTCTATTTGTGCCATTGCAACCAAAATCGTTGTCAATACTTCGGTAAAATGCAGCATTTTAAAAGTAGAACTGCTTCACTGTGTTTGGTCATTGAAAGGTTTCGTGATTTTATTCAAATACAACGTCTTTTTTTAAATTATTTTCTCATTTCCTGAATCAGGAGTAATTAACATTTTACCATTTAACTTGATACTTCTTGGAAACGGAACTATATTTTCTCGTTAAGTTTCTTTTTTCTCTCTCAAAGGGCAGCCAGTAAGAAATCACTTAAGACCGATCACAAAACACAGAGATTGCCAATATATGACATTTAAAAATTGCGCACGCAAAAAATGTGTGAATAACTTATCAGCAGGTGGTACGCGGTTTTGTAATGCGTGTTAATGCATTTTGAGCTATAAAATCATGTTAAAATACCGAACAAAAACACCAACAAAGAGCGTTTTGTTGCGAGCATCATTTCAATTACGTATGTACAAGTTACGGGCAATAAAATCAAAATGAAACAAAAATCAATAAGCAAAACTTGTCGATATTGAACGAAAAAGTGTATAATGAAATGTCTGAAACACTGCGAAACAAATAAATAAAAGAATACACTGAAAATAGCACCAAACGATGGAATAATTTAATTGAAACGAAGACAAAAAAATCGACAAATGTGTCCTGCCTTTCAAAATTGATATTAAAATATTCTGTAGGTCTTTGTCGAATTGAAAACAGTTGTTGAGCCAAGTTCAAGAGCGACGTAACAAAAGTAACACATACGCGTAAATTCATTTGCATTGTCTCCAACAAAAAATGTTTTTTTGGCCCATATATCGAACAATTTGCATATTAGACATTGAAAAATGATGATTCCCACCATAAAATACACGAATTTTGTAACAAAAGATAATCTAATTCTTTTACCATTTACAGTTGACATCGACACAATCATTAAAAAATCAAACATTGTATTATTTCAAAATGATATTTGTTCGTTCCATCTAAACTCACAATTTTCGTCTAAAACACCGTTTGAACCATGAAATTGTTGGTAATATGAAGGAAATACTTATCTTAAACCATCGTCACCATTCGTGTTTGTCGTTGCGTACAATTGTTCGCATATGAAATATGTCATTCATTGAAATCGGATGGAAAGCAGAAAAAGATTTCTCACAAAACATCTATTGCAACATGAAATCGCTGGCGTGAAAAAAACAATTTATTCGTTCACGCTATCAAGATTTCAAATAATATAGCATTTAAAATAATGACACGTTTTTCAAATAAAATTTTAAACAATTTTTAGAACACGTTCTATTATTTCAATATTGTACTTGTGGCAATTGTATTGCATTTATCGAGTGCATTATTCTTTTCTTTTCACTATTTTCTTGTTCCATGTGCTGGATGTAAGACGAATGGATTACTTCAAAGTGGGAAGTGTATTTAAGTGACAGAATAATATGAAAGAAAATAAGCAGAATAGAAAAGCGACTCTCATTGCTTTGAAAAACGTTTGAAACGAGTAGGAAATGCCTTTTTCTGTTTAAATAAATCAAATTATTACTTGAGAAAAGCATAAAGTCGATAGGTGGCATTAACAATCTGAAATTTGTTTATAAAAAAAATATTACATTCAATTCTGGAGTTTAAAATTAATGACATACCGAAGAGAAAATCATCAAATTCAATGTGAGAATTTATCCAATCATAATTACAAAATCTTGCTGTAACATTTCCATAAGTATTAAAATAAAATTTCGCGATCCTTTAATGTTAATCAATGCTGGCCAATTTGATTCATAGAACTTTGTCAAAAGCAATTTACTTCCGAATATTACTTGTTGCCCAAAGTAACACATCAAAAAGATTTGCAAAAGAAATGTCATCATTGAAAGATAATTGGTGAGAAACATGACTGGTTCTTCAAATGGTGACGTCTATTCAATATAAAAATGTTCAATGTAATTTATAATCGAATGAAATCGATCATTTGTAATACGTTCAATTCACCTTGGCCAATACACTTAAAAAGGAACAAATGACAATGCCGCTAAGAATAACATGGCTAAAATAGGTCAATGCCAAATTTTTCTGTACATTTTCAATGGACCCTCTGATTTCCAAATATGTTTTAACGTGTTTTACAAGTTTTGATTTTACCGATCCAAAATGGTTGTCGTGTGCCGCCTTCAGACGGTGGCCCAGAATCTCAAACTCGACGCTGATTAAGTACATGGAAAAGCAGAAATACGAATCAATGGACACGTTGCAAAGACCCGTTGTCGTAATGCCAACATATTGATAGATGGATATTATCCAATAGTCTCGATTATTGTTTTTCCAGTCAAATCCAGGATACCATCCACTAAATACCAATACATTTTCATTTGCATGAAGCGCATCGATGTTCCACAATGTCAACGAAAAATTCGGTAAAAAATAGTACAAACGCAAAACTATGCGAAAGAAATTTATCCGTTTTTCCATCATTTGCTCTTCGGTCGTTGATAAAATGGCGAATTCTTTATGCATTTGACGAATTTTCTGTATACATTTGTTGTGCAAAAAATGATTGAACACTTTTATCATGAAAGCGACTTTTGTCAAAGTCATGAACAAACCATAGGTTAAACCCGAAAAATCAGTTAAAAAATACAAATTGGCTACCATAAAAAAGTATACAAAGCAGTGTTACGCTTAGGATTGTATAAAGCCAACGGAAACGTTGTGATCGTTGATACGGATGCCATAGGCCAACACATGTGAATATCGTAACGAAAATCTTGAAAATTTTATCGGGATTTGATCGGCTATTAGTTGCCATGATTCACACTAATAATTTTAAACACTTGTGACATGAAACACAATACTTTTCACATTGATGTGAATTTTCAGAAATACTTTGGGTTTATATTCGAAAAAAAAACCATTGAAATAATACTTAAATCCAAGAGCCCTCTTCACCTACGACACATTCTGTGGAGCTTACGATAACGATGGTTTAAACTAATTACATGTAATTTTTCTGAACAACCCTTGAAACTTTCAAACTTAAGAAGACAATCGATTGCATAACCTTTATACACCATGGTAGCAATAATCTAAGTGTGGCGTTAGTAATTAATAGCCAACTAATTTGAGGCCTTCACACTTTTAACTCATAAAATATTCAGTCGATGAAACTTAATCGATATGCATGTAATTGGTATATTGAATGTTGGAAAGTGCGCATTAATAAGCAAAACCATTGATTGAAAGTCATCGATTCCGGCAACCATAAATCACCACTTTGAAAATTGCTTACTAAAAGTTTTTTATTGAAGTGGTTGGAACTTGTCAATTAAGTCTTTAAAAGTTCTGTAATTAAGTGAGGCAGGTTATGAAGGTTGTCAAAACTCTAATTTTCGAATCTAGAACCTTCTTAACTACATTTATTATCTGAGTGAGTAATTTGTTGAAAATCTCTATGACATATCACTGATATGATATCAGTATATGGCTGCACCCAAAAATCATAACAAATTCAATTTATTGAAAATTTAAAAATGTCTTCCGCTTACATATTAGAATTCACACATTTGAAAATAAGATGAAAAAATGACATGAAATTATCTTATCGACAATTCGTTAATTAAATTATTTTCATTCGCGTGTTTTTTCCCTTATCTTTGTAATAATTATCAAAAATGTAAAAATAATCACCTTCAACCGGTTTTTGTTTTCTGACTAACTGACTACCAATCAAAATGAATTTAAGTTCTGACATAAATCTAAAATTGGTGTTTTTATGTTTCCTTTCCGGGTTTTGTTAAGTGTTATGGATTATTATGAGAAAACTTATCTCTTTCTCTCTCTTATCTTACATTCTCTTAGAATATTCAATTACGATTTAATTCGCAATATTGTATGTGAGGTATACGCTTACCCACACGCCAATATATCACCATAAATTTATGAGCATAGTGTACGTCATTTAAAAGATCTCAATATTTGATAACAACATACCTACCATGTACTATTTGTGTATGTGTGATGCAACTGAGTGGCGTATGAGCATGAGTGTGTATGTGAGTTTAAATTGACATGGCATAGAAAACATCTTGATGTGATTCGAAGTAGTTGTACGTTTATGAACGAAAGCCACGGAGCGGATAAAGTAAATGGATGCGAACGTTATTCAAAACGAACTTGATGCATGAGAATAGTTATTTAAAATGTAGGTGGTAAGCTATCGGTTCTTATTGGGTTCTGGGACAAAAATGATCACTCCATTTTGAATGTGTGGGAATCAAAAATGATCGAGAGCACAAAAATTACAATGTAAAAATTACGATGCACATACTTGGTTTCTCTCCTTCAAATGCATTATTTCTCGGTTATTCAAATTACCAAGAAGAACAGAGATCAGAATAGTTTTTAAATGACAAATATCAAATGTCACGCAAACATTAACTCACAACAATAAAATTCGGCATAAATTGGTCAAAAGTGCCAATTGAGTTGATTCAATTAATGCAATACATGTGATCACACTAAACACGTGAACCAAAATTGAATCATTTATACTTCAACAAGAAAAAAAAAACAAATCATATTGCTTATAAGCAATCGTTTTACTAAATAATTCATTTGTTCGATGATTTTCAGTTCACAATTTGCCATTGGCTAGTTTAATTAATCAGACAGCAACTAATTATTTCTACTCGTGCATGAAAATTGTCAATGCAAAATCCTTTCAACCGGTGGCTTCTTTGAAACGTATTTCGATTCACCTGGCGTTGTAACAAAATAGCAACGAACAAAAAAAAATCGTTTCACATTTATTGTGATTTGTTAAGCGTCTTTTTTCTGTGAGTGTTTCTTGTTTCGATGTGTCTCATTTGTTAAAATCTGTTGTGCACATAAGCGACAAGTTGACAACAGCTCAACAAACTTTCAATTACCTTGTAAAAAACATGCATAATTGCTGTACACATTTGCACGTTGCCCGTTTCGATTTGTTTCGTGTGTTTTTTTTTTTTGTTTTTTCATATAAAAATTTTTTATCAACGTTTACGTTCGCTGCGAAGTTCATAATTCATTTTAAATGTGTTGATTTGTTTCGTTTTTCTTTTTAAATTGGAGACACTATCGTATAGAAAACTGTTTTGAAATCGTACAATAAACGAAAGAAGTAATAAAAATAAGAATTGGTTTGGAGCGCATGTTTTTGAAAATTGAAACGAATGGCACAAATTGAAAGAAGAGAGGCAGCCGAAGCGGCAGCAAAGTATAAATCTCATGCATACGTCGCTTGTTAGCCTGCGGTCAAATAAAGTCCCTCTCATAACACACACATTTATACATGATTTCAGTCAAATGTTATTTATAATTTTTTGTCGTTCACATTCAAACTTGCTTAATTGGCAATTTAGGTTAACACGATAGAACAAAATACACATACACACAACGACAACATACAGTTTTTTCAAACTATAGATACAAGATACATATCAAGTGTCTTTCGGTTTTATTCAATTGGCACACGCACAAAACATAAATTAGATTTCCTTGGGCAACAATTTTGCCCATTTTGGATCATTCACATTTTGTATGGAACAACATTCAATCGATGAGATTAAAATTTCCATCGATTAAATACGCTTTAATTATCGATTCAATTCAAGTAGACGTTGACCAGAGAAATGTGTGTGATCTAGTTATTTAGACGTTCTAATTGAAAAATGTGCTACTAGTATCTATGAATTTAAACTGATCAAGTCGATGGAATTTTCACAGTTAATTTGTCACAATGAACGAAGTTTTGTTTGACTTTTCTGACACAAAATGGGTTATTTTGTTTGTATAATTTATATGACAGATTGACTCAACTGTCTTGCATACATTAATCGTACATTTATGGTGGTACATGACACACCTTTTGCAATTTTAACCATGCTTATCAACAGACACGGATTAATAAAATCATGTTTGAAGATTAAATTCATTTTGTAAAAAATAAAGTCAAATAAACAAAATTTAAAAAAAAAATACAAAATACACATTTTAAATTATGAAAAAATGCAATTGAACGTTATCGAAAAGAATGGCGAACATGCGTCTTTAGAATAATTGAGTGTTTCGGCACATTTAACGAGCTTGTTAATGGCCTATCCTGAACATCAATCGAAAAAAAATCAGCAAATTTAAATACAAACAATTGATTCTTTTGATTCAAGCTCAAATGCTTACTCGACCATTTATATTTAAATCTCATCGCGAGATTCCTTTAATAAAATTGTTAATCAACCGGAAAGTGCTGAAAAAATAAACAATGATCGCATTCAATAAAATCCATACCTTCGTATTTATAAAAGCAAAAATACTGCGACAATTGACATGTTTGGCGAAGCATGAAAAATAGGTTAGATAGCAATCCAAACAGTGGACTGACAAACACTTGATGATGATTTTTTTTTCAATTACAATAAAAATAATTATAAAAATTCTTGATAACCAGAAATTTGATAAAAAGGTATCTCATCGAATGCACAGCTAATCAATAGACAATTGACAAGGGCTGATGTGTGCGATGAAACAGTCATTGAATTGGTTTGCGTGCTTGACAAATATAGAGACAATTGCCACCAAAGTGATAGTGCTGATTAAGTTCAATTGAACAAAAATACAAACACTTGAGCAATGAAAAAAAGACGTGTTATAATATGTAACGATAATACACCACCGTGTGTGAGTAAAACAAATAAAATGTATATGAATCGAGAATATATTGCTAGCAAGCTAGCGCGCGCCTGATTCTCTTATCTAACATATATTTCTCAATAATTGCTGTGAAATCATATTTTATACACTCTCTGTACGGTGCAACAGCTATGTATAATAAAAATTTCAGGTATAGCTTACTTTGCCTTCAATTAGTTGTAAATGATAAACCGTGTTCGAATCATCATTAAATTCATCATAATTCTCATGTACGATTTGTGTTGAATTGCGGTAAATCGTCGGTGTGTGTGGTTTTAAATACGGCATTCGTTTTCATTAAAAATAAACAAAAATTTAAACAAAAATATTCTAAATACAGAAGTAGAGTTTAGTAGAGAATTGTTCTTGTAACAAAAGACACACAAACACCGGTTGCACACGGTTTGGCAACGTTTGTGGATTTTTTTTAATTTTTTTTTTGTGTGTGATAATAATAAAAAGCCACAGACTGGCACCGACGATCATCGTAATAATCGGTTTGGATCGAGTGGCGAATTGTTTTGACTGTGATCTTTCAGCAAAATGTTGAAGACATTTACAGCACTTTCACCATTCATCAAATTTCGATCGAAAAACATTTCGATTGATAATTTAGCATTTAAATTTCACTATCGCGCCACATATCTTATACTGCTTGTATGCACTTTGCTGGTCACCTCTAGGTTCGTATTTCATAAGATTGTTTTTTTTATTTTTATTTTTGAATAATAATAACAATGGTGTGTTTGGAGAATACGCAAGCAAATTAAGCTGACAACTAACTAAAAATCGTGATAATAAATAAGTACCCGCATGGAATTTTACTGATACGTACATGATTTATTTGCTTTCCCACAGACAATATATTGGTGATCATATAAAATGTATAACAGACAACGCAATTCCGTCGCATGTGATAAATTCGTTTTGTTTTTTCACGCCAACATTTACAGTGGTATGCCATTTATTTTGCAAGTAAACACAGCCCTGTAAACACTTTTATTTCGGCAGTGAGAGACATAACAAAATTGTTTATTTTCAAATATATTTACATTAAATAGGTGCGTCACTACAATGAAACGATGTTGGCAGGCGGTTGGTTACCGCATCCGGGCATTGGCGACATTGGTCCACGTGAAAAACTCAAGCATCATGCCTACTACCAATGGGTTCCATTTTTCCTTTTTGCTCAAGCCATATTTTTCTTTTTGCCGCACTTTCTCTGGCGACTTTGGGAAGGTAATTTCAAACGCAAAGAAAGTGAATATAGACAACTGGTTCAATGTTACAACCAGCAATATGCTGTTGATGAAATCATGTGGCGTGAATTTTACCGAAAAATTCACAAGAAATTCAGATGACCGCGTTAATTCAATCACTGGACATTTTACTCACGCAAAATCAATGTGTTAAATCCCGGTCATAAATATTACCAGCAATTAAACGGTGTTTTGTGTACGATTCTCTCTCTCTTTCTCATTCGATCATTGTTCAATGCGATTGACTTGCGAAAAACAAAAACACAAAAACCTAAATACAATGTTTTACATTCATGTTCATCATGCGTTAAATGCGATTCATTTCACTTTTAACGCGTACCTTTGGTTATGTATCCATTATAATTTATTTACGGAAAATTAACACGAAATGAAGCGGTTAAATAACAGAGAGACGCACTTGCCAATTTAAATTTAACAAAAAAACACAATTTCGATGTTAAATGCTATATATATATAAATTGCTGCGAATAAAACGACTCCACTGAGATTCATTAGCGAAAAAACGTAAACAATGAAATTTAACACCGACTGAGCACGCCAAGTCATTTCAAACAGGTGATTGATTCAAAGCGGCGCTGTACCAAATTGCTGAAATACCGGCAAATCAAAAGTGTTTCTGAGAATAAAACAAGAGAGAAGAGATAGAGAATCAATGTAGACGTCATTAGTTTACAGTTAATCGTGTACTTTGTTTTCATCGCTCGAATCGCATCATCAAAATAGCATTTCAAATTTAATTTCACCGTTCATATTTGTTGCTGTACATGTCAGAATCATGAATTGAATTCCAGTTGCCAGGTCAAAATTGCAGTGATTGAAATGATTGCGTGATAAGATTTTTGTTTTAATATATACAATTCGATTGAAAATGGTAATTGTTTACAGGTGGGCGAATCAAAGCATTGGTCGAGGGCTTGCAAATGATTTCTCTGTCAAAACACAATCAGAAAAAATCAGAGATGCGCTTCAGCGGAAACTATGTATTGCCAAGCAACGACATGATCAAAGGACGAATTTCACTGATCAAAGATGATTTTTATAAGCACATCAGGGTCAACAAAAGATTTGCCAGATGCTTGATCTTTTGCGAACTATTGAATCTGATCAATTTGATCGTGCAAATTTATGTGACCAATGTTTTTCTAGCCGGTCAATTCTATTCACTTGGATTTAATTTTATGGAAGACGATTTTACCGGTCCGATGGATGTTCTCGATACAGTTTTTCCAAAGGTGACAAAGTGTGATTTTTACAAATATGGTGCATCGGGATCTCTACAACGACACGGTATTTATGAAAAAAATATATTTTCATTTGATTCAAAAAACGAACCACGTTCATTTCAATTGCAGATGCACTTTGTGTTATGGCGCTCAACATTATTCACGAGAAAATTTATGTAATTTTATGGTTTTGGTATTGGATTATGCTTGTTGTTTCATTGGGTAGCATTGTATGGCGACTGACAACAATGTTAATGTATTCAAGGTGAAAAATCAATTGAATTTGCACATTCTACGTGTTTCGAAATCCATTTTTCATATTAATTCTGTCTCTTTTCTTAGGTCTATGTGGTTTAATCGCGTTCTCTTCTCATCGACATGCCCAGGCCGACTGAATACAAAACACTTAGCAACGGTTGTTCGGCACATTTCATATTCAGATTGGTTGTTCCTCTACTATTTGGCCACAAACATGGAGGCCTTTGTATTTTGTGACTTATTGGCCGATTTGGCCGCTGAATTTCGTCAACAATATGTCGATGAACAAGAAGTTCTTAACAACGAACGCGAAACAGTAAGAGTCGATGAAATTGGTGAAAAAAGTACGCCCGAAAAAGAAAGCATTGATGAAGTAGATCTAAGACGTAAACCTCGTAGCTAATTTGTATTTGAAAAAAAAAATGTACACGTATTCTTAATATGAAACAAAATATGAATAATAATTAGCGATCAGTGATTTAAACAACTTTTTTCGTTTCTTGCATTCTCCAGATTTCATTTCATAGTCGAAATGCATAAGAATCATTCACAATGGCTAAAAATTAGGTAGAAATACAATCAGCGAAAGGAGAATATATTATTTCTGAGTGAGTGGAATTGAAAAATTGTGGTGAACGTTGTTCGAAAGTTATGAGCCAAACCTGTTTCCACCTAACAAACATTACTCTCTTCTCCGACAGTACTATCATTGTTGTAGTGTGCACACTTATTCACTTTGCACGTACGAAAACTGCAGTGATCTTTATGTATTTGTATCCCGCATAAATTCTTTGGCATAAAAAATGGCCATTAGTATTGCAGAAATCGATATGTGTGTATGTATAGGAGGTCACATGCGTTCGATGACCTTAGGCGACGCCATTATTTTTCAAATTAAAATCGATTCATAATTTTTTGTTTGCGTTTGAAAGTGATCTACAACCAAAAACTAATGGTTTCAATCATGGTTTTCCATTCACAATCATTCTTCAGCTCGATCAATTTCATCAGTAAATGAGCTATTTGCAAAATTCATTTTGTAACATACATACACTGAAGAGTAATAATGGTGTGTCGCTGTCAACCGCAGTATGTTTTGTCATCAGAAGCCGTTTGATAGCGAGCGCAAAGAATATTCATGAAACAATCCCACGTATTATGAAGTGCTTTGTTTGCGTTCTGCACGAAATATTCTCGATATGGTATGCGCCGGTGTCACTGCCATCGTTACCACTTCAGTTTCTTTTTTTGTAAATCTCGACAATAATTTTTCTTCACCGATCTTCTGCAAACTTCTTTCGTTTTATACAAGCACACTTCAAAAGAAGAGGAATAAAGGAGAGAGATGGATAGAGAGTGAAAGAGAGAAACAAAATCCGAAACCACAACAGATGATCGAACAATGAAACCACCAAATATTTGCGTTAAATGATCATTGTGTAAACAGCCTTTATTGAATTTGATGATTGTATAATAATTCATCATATTAATCTCTGCCTTCAATAGAAAGAAGAGAGAAAAAGAAGAGCATTTCAGTTGAAGATTTGAAGTGCTTGTGTGCAAACACTGCGGTTGAGGTTTGCAATGCCACAGGGCCTGGCACAGGCGCGAGTACATGGAAACAAGTATGCATTAAAAAAAAACTCTAAAAAAACATTTCAATACACAAACAAAAGCAAATAAATGGTTTACATTTGTCAGTTTTTGTTTTCATTCTTTAAGAATGTTGAAGAAGAAAACAACATCGATTTAATTGCATTTCCCATGCATATTTTTCTCTTTTTCCATCAGAGGAAAGAATCTTCTGGAATTTGAAAGTGCAATCTTTTCAAATTCGACGATTTCCACCTTTCGAGAAAAAAAATCCGACAAAAAATGAAATAAACAAAGACTTTCGTCAAAATCACATCAAATTTCATGATTCAGGTGAAATTCATTTTATTTTGCGCAAATGTTTGCATTATTTATTCACGGAAGTTGATCACTCATCTGAATACCGCAGATAGTTTGTTTCATTCATACCCAATCCAAATGGTGAGCAAATGTTATTTTAATTAGCATCTGCTGTCTGGACTGCCGACACATGTAAAGGTGTAAGTCGAGCCTCCGGAACGGATTCTCTTTATAATTTTGCATACGGAGCCTAATAATAGGCAGACGGTAATGTGTTAGTGCTCGCCGAAATATTTATTGAGGTACCCATTTAATGAATGACATCGGCCGACAACACTTTGAAAATTAGGGTTGTCACGGATCAAAATCGCATCTGTATCACACTATTACAGTTGTCTGCTATAAAATCGCCTACTGACTGGCGACACATGTATTCGCCTCAAGTTGATGAGTATGTGTACAATTTTAGAAGAGGGGAACACACTTCTCTCACTTTCTCATACAATCATTTCTTCGTTTGATTGAAAACAGATGCGATTAAAATCTAAAAATGAAATAGTTTTAGCTTCGAATTTGTATGATGAAAGCATTACTGTCAATTTTCAGTGATTTTCTCCATAGAATTTTCTATTAATTTTGTCAAGCGAGCACAACTATGTGAATCAGCGTGTGTGCAGACATCGAACCTAACCGGTTTGTTTTGATCTTATTCATGACTATACGATATTTTTTAGTATTTCATTTCAGAGGATGTGTCACAAAAACACTTCTTTTTTTGGAAATTTCTAAACGAAATCATAAATTTCGCCGGTTTTTTGCTTCTTCCTCTGAAATTCGATGTCTGATGACACAATCAAGTGATACAAATGGAGAGTGTATATTCCGTTTTATGTAGCACATTCGCTTATCAACACTGTTTATATGTAAATATATCGAATGAATAACAATTTGACGTTGTTCATCAAATAGATGATGAAATAAAATCCAATGTTCAAATTGTTGTCATTCATTCCATTTGATTTCGTTGTCCGTCAACTGTAAATGTGAAAAATAATAAAGACTGCTTACGTTTTTGATTTTTATTGAATCAAAATTTAACGAATGACAATTGAAACATGAACATTTTTTTTGCTTTCTATTGTGGACCTTGCAAACGATCTAGCAAAAATTGAATGTTGTTTGGTGTTGATCTTTAGTGATATGATGGCGCTGTGCGATTGAGATTGACGCCTATTTAGTTAAATTGATATTATATTGAGAAACTGAGGAGTAGCGTGTAACCTAAATGTTTGTGTGGTTTGCCGTTTTGTTGATTGAATTTTAAATATATTGGTTTGCAGTATCATGTTCATGTATAAATAATTAAGCAAGATAACTCGCTGAGAACCGTTATGCACACACATAGGCAGTGAATACGAAGAAAACTCATCACCATATGTGGCCATATAGTTTTCTAGCACTTACGCAACGTATAAACATTGAAAATACATACATCTATCAAAATCAATGTCGAAATAAATTCATTTTCGCTGTGGTTTTCAATTAATGCTATATTTTTTGCTTTTAAGAAATATATAAAAAACTCCCCATATCCATTGTTAATTTGATCGATTCTCGTTCGATTTTTAGAATACTTTAACTGTAAAAATGGGCTGGTTTTAAATTGGAATTTATATGAAAACCAACATCTTCGATTTCTAATGACAAGATAAATCGTCGTAACCTCATTTCTAGCTCAATGTGACGTCATGTTAATCCAAACTCTTGCACAACACGGGCCGTTCGTTAATATTGCTTAAAATGCAACTCAACTGCAAAAACGACTCATTGTGAATGCAGACTTTGCTTGCGCGCACATGATCGAGATCGTTGACATCCGATAAATTACGATGATTTCGTAAGAAAAGGGCAACGGTTGACGAAAATACCAACGGAAAGAGTCGACGATTATATTGTATTTGCTTTGTCGTTGGTCAATGCGTTGTCTTTTTTAAGTATCTTTTGGCACAATGCTTATTTCATGCTAACATCTTTTTTTGTCACTGTTCTTTTCATACCGAAAATCTGAATATTTTTGTTTGCTTTTTTGGTTATTCGATCAGATTTAGATATTGAATAACTAATGACAAACACGCGTCATTTCAAACTGAATGCGCGCAACCATCGAAAAAATAAAATAAAAACAGATATTATGGACACACGTTTTGCATACGCCATACAAGTTATAAAATCGAAACCTCACGAATTCTTTTTACAAAACGAAATAAGTATCATTTGAAGGGAATCATTCATGTGTGAATCGAATATACGGAAAACCAACACGTTAGAGATCAATGACCATTCGTTTTTCTTCATATGCACAAATTGTAATAATGCTGATTGAAAAGTCTTTCCTGGTTTTTGATTTGCAATAAAAATTTATTCGATCTGCAAGTGTCTCTTTCTTCACAAATACTAATTTTGCTAGGGGGTAGACACGTGGAATAGGATTAGACGTTTAGTGTAAAAATTCGAGAAATTAAAGTGGAATAGAGAATTCAGTAGCTGGATTCACATGGATTCACTAATCCTGTGTATGGAATAGCGAAAATGGGTTAATTCAAAGTTTTTGTAATCGATAGTACAGAATTTGATAAAAGCATTGAACTTGTTTTGAGATAGTAACTTGTTCTTTTTTGAAATATTTTTTAGTTCAAAAGTCGATTACAAATTTACAAAACAATAGATACACTTTCTCAAAATTTTATTGATGAAAAAAATAATTTTAATTATCAATAACAAAATGTCATACTCGAGTATCGATAAATAAGTTTTCAACAAAGTGAATAGCGGCGAAATGTGAGATCACATTTGACAATGAAATGACGGATTGGTGGAATAGTAGGATTAGTGTTTTTATATTGGAATCATGGTTTAATCGTTTGTGTCTCCCCCCTAGTAATTTTGTGCAATGCGGTTTTTGATATTGAATGACTTGCATCGAATCAGGTAAGTATTACATGACATTTTGAAAATTAAAAATAATAATAAACATATTCAAACTGTTTTTTTACATGCTTGCAAAAACGTACAAGGCGAATTTTCTTTATTTGGGTCGATGCGTCGTGTTCATCTGAACCTATTCCCAGACATTCCAATAAAAATCAATTGATTAATTTGATTTGATTAGTCTTTTGATTGGCATGGAAAGATTGTTGACAAAAAAGTTGGTTTATTTTGAATGCAACATTTTGATGATTGTACAGAATACTGTGGCCTTTCGTAAAGAAATGACGTTAAATTCCGTTGCATTCCTAAGCCCGAATTAGGTACAAACTCATTATTCAATTGTGATCAATTCAATTAACATGAAGCAAACAAACCGGGAAACCGATGTGGATCACAAGCAAATTATACATCTAGGATATGCTTCTTTATCATAATTTAATTACAAATTTAAATGAATGCCGACATTTTTCGTTGATTCGATGGAATGCACACAAGCGGAACATATTGTTCCCAAAACTAAAACTCATTGAAGCAACTTTTCCCGTTGATTTTTAACTCTTTTTTTGTACAACTTTGGAATTTCAAATGTTTTTTTTTCTAAATCCA